AAAGATTGTCGAAATACACGATAAGAGCTCATGAGCCCAGCGCTGGTGAACGAGAAGGGGCCAGTTCTCTCCACAGCAACACTCAGTTCTGTATCGCGTAACATGACCTAGAGAAATTGAACGAGCTAGGCTAAGAAAGCTTCTCACATAAATCACACTTGAGGGGAACAGCGTCAAATGCCAAAATGTAGCGACATTTACCGATTTCATCGACTCTAGAGATCTCGTACTTGCATGCAAGCGAAATGTGCAAACTTGCTACTCGTTTGAATCATATTAGTAGTATTGGTTGTTACTTCGATCAATAAAATATTTCAATAGGCGAGATGAGAAAATCGAGGTCGAAAACCGCAAAAACTTCCTCCAGGTCCTAATGATTGCAAAAATCAAAAGACGCCTGTGGATACCAAATCTCTTGATGAAATGCGTCAGTTGCAGAGCAAAATAAAATTAATCTGCAGAATGCGTACCGTAATGTGCTGAGTGTCTCATCGAAGTTGATGTCAGCCGGTGAAAGTGCTGCGATCATCGCCGTTTTCGAATTTCCGCCAAGGTTTTCGCGAAGCAGCCAGGTGAGCACCGAGTCTCGATATGGTACCACTCCTTTACCACGCTTCGATTTCTTACCAGCCTTAACTCGAAAATTTTCGACTTTTCTCCACAACACGGTAAGATCAGAAGCAGGTACATATAACGTTTAGGGTCACTCTTAGGCAATGTACCACGTAGCAGTGTTAATTGCATGATGTTAGGCGTACAAACGAAGAAAACTCACCTCTCCGTACTTTGTACTCTAAAACATGACAGTAGCTGGGTACAAGACAATCATCAAGTTTCAGTAGTTTCAAGGATAACTTAGGAAAACAACTACATAGAAGTGTTCGGATCACGTCATCAAAGGTGGAAAATCCTACCTCCTCGGCTAGTTTACTAATGACCAGGCCAAGTGTTGTCAGACTTTTGTTGATATTCGCTCCTTCCTTCAATCGTTGTCCCTCTGCACCTGTTGATGTTGCTCGTTCACTTCCGGCCAAATCGACCAGTGAGATCTTCGACACCTTGAAAGAGGTGATTATATACCATAGTTGAAAATAATGAAGGAAGCTCCACTACCAAGGCAGCTGGGGAAAATTTCGGAGAATATGCCTTCTTCCCCATTCTCAAACTTCACCCCATTTTCCAAAATTTCCCAAACATTTTCCGGTTGGCCCCGAAATTCTGTACTCGAGCGAAGGGAGGGTTGCAGCCGAATCATAACTAACCTTCAGCTACTGAAATGACCAAAATATGACCAGCGACCAAAGACGACCCAACGCCTCCCCGCTGGGAATTCACAAGCGTAGGACATGCCCTGCCTACGACGCATTTGGTTGCATCCGCCTAACTATATGGTTATATGGGGAATGCTGGTACACTTAACCTGGGGTGTGAAATCATTTTTTTCGTGAAGCTTTAAAGCAACAACAGCCGAAATTGTTTGGGTTATGCGGCTATCAAAAGTGAAGTGTGTAGTGGAAAGTGGGCTTACGCTCGCTCGAGCTCCCCCCGAACTCACGACGGATCGCAACTCTCGCTCCAGGCTAACTAAGCCTTCCTTCCTACGGGGACGGGTAATCGGTACCAGGTTCGTCTGGTATGATAAAAGCACTGACTTGTTCATCAGCTGGTCCCGCAATTTATTGTATAGGCCATATCGCATTCAGTTAAGCCACTACGATTCTGAATGAAAGTAGAATGCGTGGCGCATCCCACAAAGGGATTGATTAACGGCGAAGACTTTATCCTTAACACCCTACCAACATTATGGGTCTTCTAAGAGCATCTTAATGGGCCAAGGATGACTCGAAGAGTACATCATACCTCTTTTCGATGGTCTGAGAAAACCTAAAACTTTCGCTGTCCAGAGAATGGAAGCGGCAGATCGCGAGGTCAGCGTCCTCGCAGAGAGCAAGTTGCGGGGAATTATCATGGACTGGTAGCTTAATCTAATCACTGGTCACTAGTTCATTACTCGTCGCGTCTGCAATGTGTGGTCTAGCGATGCCTCAGTAGAACTTTAAGATCAGCTGTTTAACTACCGCGATCAGCGCACTATTCGTTTTGTTTTTACGGAGAAACAGTTCATTTTTGTAGAGATTAGCAAACTACAAGTACCTTCTCAGTATCCAAATTGGCATCAGGACAATGTCGCTTCTGAGTCAACACTATGGTGAAGACGGCATGAGAACGAGATGATGTCGAGTTCATATTTGTCGCTGCCACAGTTCTAAAAATAAATGTAATTGCAGAAGATTGCTGAGAATACAAAGAACTTTGCATCGAATCAATACCGGGTCTTAAAAACCCTATGATAAAACGTCCACACAGAAAAGATGCTCTCAGAGGAAAGTCAAATACTACATTTCACTTGGCGCCCACGACAGTAAATAAACAGTAATACTTCGCCTATCACTAATGAAAAGATAGCCCTACTCGAATAAATTCAAAAGCAGTTATCTTTCATGACTGACTATTGTTTTACCCTGAAGTGAGCAACTTACAGTCTAATTTGGCAACTTCTAGAAAAAACAACAACGGCTCCACCAACCGAGCTTTATTGCCTTCATCCATCAAGTGGCAGATGTCCTGATAAGAGCAAACAGCCATTTTTGTCAGATCATCCACATATGGTCCGAGCAGAGGATGTTCACGAACTCGAAGATTTCCTGTGAAATAATTTAGCTTTTGTCACGAAGTAGACTGCGTCACAACAGTTGGGGCCCAGAGTTGGCGCTTGCTCGCCGGAACTAAGACATTCAGCACTCTCACTGCTTTCGGGATACCCAGGCATCCCACTTCCTACAGACTCGTAGTGGTTTTTGAATGCGATTTTACTTACAAAGTTGTGGGGCCAACTGATGTAGGAGATGTCGCTTTATTACCAGAGATTTCTTTGCCAAGTTGCCGGCTGAAATAGGGATGAGGGACACCCAACTTGACTAAAGACTATCTTCAAATCCTGTATTGTAGGAACCAAAGAGCCAACACTCGGGTCGTGCTCGCCTTTGGCGTTGCTTACGGACGATTGAGTCGTTATTATGAGCCTTTCATAAACAGTCTTTTATTCGTTGCTCTAAGATGTTTGACCTTTCTCTTCAGTGGGTTGGAAAGCTGTATGTGTAATGGCATAATCACTGATTTCGTACTGGAGCCCTCAGGCATCGAAAATCCACTGTCCGCTCCCTCCCCTTTACGCGCTGCATTCTGGCCCATCAGGCAGCGATAAACAGGGGCCGTCAGGAGGGAAAACTGCCGGGAAGTGGCGCGTCGCAAGTGGCCTGCAGGAGATGCCGCTGAGGAATCAAAAGATGCTGAGCAGTCGTAACAAATTTACTTTTTCTTTTTTAAAGTTCGAATTTATAAACCATATAACCATGGCACGAAATAGAGACAGCGGAAAAATAAAACAACTACCTCCGCTATTCGGATTCAACAGATCCTTAACGCGTTCACAGTAGATTTCCATGTAAGACACCTCGACTGAAGTAACTGTTAGGCATTGTGTCGGTGCAACTTGTTCACATCGTGCACACACTCAAAAATAAAAATTCTACTCAGGAGAATCTACGAAAATTCGCTGAAAGTAGGAGTGATTCCAGGCAGGAACACGACTTACAGACAATTCGCCCATGGAAGTAGCTAGCAATGTTGGGACTGTTGAGCGCACCGAGTTTCATGGGATGTTAGGAAAAAGATTCCCCGGATGCTTCCCTGTGAGCAGAAACAGCCAATCTTTAGGGTGTGTCCACGACCATGCGAGGGCGAAGCCATCCATCATCGCAGACCAAGCTCACGAAGGCCTGTATTACGGGGACTCTACATACCAACGTAATAGTCAAGCAATGGGATCCCGCTGACATCACTTCGACACTCTGAAGCAGGGTACAGCTTCGTTGCGTGAACCACATGGGGGAAGGGGTTCCGTACTCAGCTCGGGAGGGCGTCCGTGGCTTTGAATCAGAAATTTGCGCGCGCTGGGAAAAAAATTTTCCCCGTTGTTGACTTTTCAAGGGTTTTGTTTTTCCCTGTTTTATGTGCAGCTATATCCAGCCACTGTCTCTCGACCCTCTACGCCGACGGCAGAATTTTTGAGTAGAGTAGGGAATTTTTAGGAAATTGCAAGCTGGGGAGGGGGAGGTCGTACTATCTCCCCTCAAGCAGAGGGGTGGGGGGCGCCGAGTCGTACTGGCACCCACCATTTCAGCACTATACGATGCTGGCACCCCTGCTCCTGAAACATGGGGATTGGGGCCGCATGCCGATGTGAATGTTACAGTTTAGCCTCATTCGATTACTTGCTCAGCGAAAAACCACTTTTACGGGTGCGCTCTGACAGGAAAAAAGTATCCTTGTCTATGCCCACCCCGCAGCCGACTTCTGTCCAATCGCAGAAACGCCATATTTCTAAGTCATTACTGTACCACGACCTAGGCTTTATGTCACATAGTTGTAGTTTGTACTGAAAGGGGGGTGGTATCTGTGGTCCAATACCGGATAATGAACTGCACGACCCTAAATGTCTAGCAGTTAATCATGGAAAGCGGCATATTGGTAAAAGTATAACTTACAGTCATTACAAAGCCGTGGTATAATTCCCATCTCGTTCTCGTCACCCGGTTTTCCCATCATGGTATACGATTTGCCACCACCCGTCTGTCCATAGGCAAATATACACACATTATATCTGAAGCAGTTATTTCCAGTAATTTCATAGATTTGTTGTCAAGTCACACCAGTTAATAATGTCAACGTTATTTAACCGAGGGCAATCAGGGGGGAAGTAGGCATGATTATGTTGTATTCTGTCAGTTCACCATATTACCATAGTTAGAGCAACTGTATTGCAGAAAATCTGCTAAAAAGTGGTCGATGCGAAAGCTCGGCCCTACCAGAAAACGGTTTTTGCATGTAGGGGGTAAAAAATAAGTCAGGTCTCAGTACGATCGGCAACTTGACGGCAGTGTAAGTGACTATAAACAGCGGATCCTCCTGCGTTGAATTCGCTGTAAGGAAGCGGTGCCGCGACCAAGTAATCGAAGATGAAAATATGGCATCGGGAGGATAGTGCGGTCCGCGACGAACAATCCTGCACCGTTTTCGCTGCAAAAAAAGTGCAGGGGAGGGGCGCTATAAGCAAATAGGTTCCAGTGGTTCCTCCTTTTTTCCAGTGACTCCGCCTCCCAAGCGCCGCCCTTCAGTGAAAAACCAAGTTGTGGGACGAGAAAAGCATGAAAATCTAAGCGGCTTTCGTTATTATTTGTACGGATCGTAAGCTGTTATTCCGCAGTCAGTGAGCGCGACGAGATGGTAAACTGGGCAAATGTACTGCAAAAGTCTTGTATTGCAAAAGGTGCAGTGAAATGTCTTTTTACCGAAATAGCAACCGTTTTATGAATTCGAAAAGCAAAACACAGACACCGAAAACTTCAAAAAGAACAAGGGAAACATAATGATACGATGAATTCACTGAAAAATAAGAATATTAAAGGTCAGCTTTTCAAACGTGGCGCCTCTCCGCAGCGAGCCAATAACGTGGAACGCTCGTCCATAAGCGCTGTTTCCCCATCGTATGCACGTACAAACTAGGATTGTAATGGGGTCCTATTTAGGACATTGGGCATGTTTTTTCTGCTTTTTCCTTCACTATTGTTTTACTCTAAACCTTGTCCTTTTTATGCGAAGCCTAAATTCACTATCTAAGATGGCAAATGAGCGCGGGCTTTGTCTCTTTAAATCCACACATTTATGCTTTATTTCATTGGTTGAAGGGGTTCCTTTTACAATGTCCGCCCACAATTTTCACACATGGACAGTACACTGAGATTTTTTAGTTAGAGGGTGAACGTTCACCACAGGATGAAGGAAACTCTAAGGCTATCACAGGCATAACTGCGATAGCCTTTTTCTGGCAGATAAGAAAAATACACTGCGACAAGCTCAGACGGAAATGAATGGCCTGAACATGAAGTTCATTCCTCTACAGGAATTCGGACTGTATAGTTGCAGAAGCACACGTGAAGTTTCAAGTAGTTGCTGTTGAACAGAGTTTCTTATTTCTTTACTATATAGTCAAACACTATGCAGGACCGGGTTCGCCCAACCAGGAATAGCGGTTGGCGACTGGTCCATTCCCTGTGCTCATATGGCTCAAAAAGAGTCCAGCTGAGCCTGGAGCGTATTTTGTGAACTGTTTCTGAAATACTTACCCTTCAAAGGCGTGTTCGAGCATTTCGACGCCAAGGTCTTGATAGACCTGAATTTGACTGGCGTAATGAGCATCATCTCTCGAATACGACCAATACGAATGGTCAAAGTTGAATGAATGGCACTTGTCAGGAGTCGAGCCACTTATTGCTGAAATTCGGATCATCTTCGGCGGAAAAATAAGAAAAAATGGTCAAAGAACCTCCTAGAGCGAAATAGTAAACATGTCACTTCATTATAGAAGGACAATAAAATGTTTTGCGGGGCCAAACTGCCCATATCAACTCAGTTTCATGCAGAGTCTCAATTTTATAGTAGAAAAAAATTTACAACCATTCCAAGGGATTCCAATTTTTTCGCGAACTTTGAGGTAGCGCAGGAAGTGGGAATTCCCGGGCCATAGTATGAAATGAACAAACTCATTACCTCAACATAATCTGTGCGGAGCAATGCACCCTCAAAATTCTTAGACGGAGTAGGCGTGACATCTGAACATTTCATAGAGTGGGTTTCTCGCGGAATATCTCGATTTCAGATAATTGTCAACTTGTTCTGCATTGGACAATGTCATGATTACAACTGCCCCAAAATGGAAATATAATAGCTCATGAAAAGTTCAGCTGCCGCCAAGTTCAATTCAGGTACGCAGCCACGCCTACTGCAAGGGCTTCGAGTGTACGTGTTTATCAACTGCAATGAAAAACTATCGCTGTTGAGTTGTGTAAAATTGGGTCAACTGACCCAAAGAACTTGACAGACCCCTTTTTAGGATGGGCAGCACACTGGATTTCCCCGCTTTCAGATGCGATCTGGTCCGTGTGATGAATGGCAGAGGCCTGTCGGTGTTTTTACCCTCCCATAAGAGTCTATTAGCCATTTGATGTACAATCTCGCTGCGAGCTTCATGTACGTATTAATTTTTTGTATGTTAGATGGCATCTAATGCAGGGAGAAACGATTGCAAGCCATGAGCCAGAAGGAAACCTTAGAATGGGGTGAACCGAATTTACTGCGCCAAAAATCCTGCGATTTCAGAAGCGATTTCGCGTTCTGCAATAGATGTTGCTTCTATCCGAGAGTGATTGTTCGCACCATTCCCCACCACTCCAATGCTATTTCACTTATTTCCGCAGCATACAGTTCACAGGACTTTACGAAATTGCCCGGTGTGTCAACGAAGCGTTTCAAAGCATTTCCCGTACTCCTCCTCCCCTCCCTCGCTGAAGAGAACTTACCCCAGCCGAGTTTTGATCACCGACTCATGTACGCTGTGAGCAGCGTCGTTTGTCACTACATCATCTCCTGCCTCCTACGGCCACTCATTGTCAGTGAAAAACATGAAAAAAGCAATCCAGAAGAAGTCGTCGCCCGTCGCTGGATCAAAATCGCACCTTTGCCATGCTCCCCAAGGAGTTACATATATATTTCCCAAGTGTTTCCGATCAAAAAAGACCATAATAAGACCATAACAACTTCTGAACTCCAGCTTTACGCACAATTCCAGCCTTCTGGTGCTCATTCCTTCAGTTTGCCCGCTTAGCACAACATTTAAAGTTTGAATACTTCCGCCAAACGAGACTGTTAGGTGGAACCTTTTATTGGCCTGAAGTAACGACCTTCAAGTGTTCCCCAGAAGCCTGAAACCGGCTCTAAGCTTCTGTAAGCTACGCCAACCAGACACGCTCCCACCTATTGCTAAAGCTCATGTCCTGAAACGCAAATATATGAACAGCTCAGAAACAACTGCGAACAACTCAGCGGAGAACAAGCTGTGCACAGCTATTCGTTCACATCTCCAAGAATTGCAGAAAGCCCCTCCAGAACACCCACGCTATTGGATTTTGCTACGAAAATAGACAAATCATTGACTTTCCCTTCTTACGTAACCGGGCTTTAATAATTGTTTTTATTGCGTAGTTCCTATATGAATCGCCAGATCCAAATGTGACTTTCGTCATCGAGAAGAGCTGTCGTTGGCGGAAGAAGCGGGGCGCATCGATTCGGCCGTTAATTCATGTCCAATTTCGACTTTATTCCTCTGTTTTTTCCACGTTCTATTCCATTATGTGCGGTGACATCATTGCAAAGCGGCGTTCCTACGAAAGCCGCTTCTGCAGGGTCATTGCGGACGTTCATTGGGATATATTGTGCAAAATAAATGTTCGTTTGATTGCAGTCCTGTTCGCTGCGGATGCTGGGGCGTTTCAGATGGCTAGGTTTGGCCCGGCGTGTTATCAACTGTGGAACTGGCCAAGCGGCAACGATAGGTGGAAGAGCCTGGCGCTGCGCTAAACCCAGCCCACCTGACATGCGCAGAAAACGAGATTGTATGCTCAAATACCATTTGATGACTTATCAATGTAACTCCCGAGAAGAAGAATAGTCAATTTGATGTGAATTAATTGATTTTTTTTGTGAATGTTCCAGTATTTTGCTCACACATAGCGAAGAGCTGTTGTGAAAACCTTACGTAAATAGTAACATTTTTGAAAGGGGTTCTCTTCACAAAATCAACCTCTCACTCTCTTAGGCTAGTGAATTTGTACCTGTTTGGGAGGATAAAAACACTGGTTTGCACATCCGCTGGCCACACAAGTAATTGTACTACGACTCTGAATGGAAATAGAATGCGTGGCTCACCCCAAAAAGGGAGTGAGCGACGCATTCATCGACCTATCGGCGTTCAAGGTTGCTCAGCTCTTATGCGAACATTCTCAGGAACTTACTGGTTCACAATAAGCCATCGCAGCGGGATATGCCATGTATTCGATTTCTCACCAGGACTATCAAAAGTATGAAATTCGTTCGATGACCACAGAACGACTAATGTAACCACCATTCGTAACTGTATGTTTAGTGTCCAAACCAAATCGTGGAAACAACCACTATGGCGCCAACGAGCCTCCGTACTCTTCAGCAGTCCAGGTAGGAATAACCAAAATGTTACAGCTAACAGCTCCGTAGCGGCTCCTGCCAAGGTTTTTTCTTACATCTTGTTCACTTTTTTGTTCCTCTTGTCGCAAACTGAAACTTTGGCTCTGCACAGCCTAGGTGAGGCTTCAGTCGTCACCCATGTGATCACAAAGTTCTTGTAGGGAAGGCCTTCTGAGGGACTGTGGTTCAGAAGAAATCTAATAAAAGAGGATGTGAGCACTACAGTGCTTATCGGATGACCCAGTCACCAGTAAAATCACAGATAAAATGTTTTTCACGAAAGCTCTTTACATTCTTCAAATCGCTTCTAATGTGCGCCACGCGTTTTACTTTCATATGGGTGGGTTATGGAAAAGAGGAGCTACCTAATCTTTGAAATGTTCTGAGGATGTCAGCCGAGGTACGGTAGATGCTTGCTGACTCTGATTACTAGCCTAGTCAAAGCTTCGACGGGCACCAGATTAAAGGTATGGTGGGCTTGGGCTTGACGTGATGGGAATTCCGGGGCCGTGCTTGGAAAGCAGCGCTATTTTTACTCTGCCTCTTCGCACTAATGTGGAAATGAGCTCACAAAGATTGAAAATCCAGGTGAATGTTGAAATGAAGAGTGGGAACGGGATTAGAGGTAACTTGAAGGTCATCTATGTTTGGCTGGTCTACAACACCCGAAGGTTCAAGAATTGAAAACGTTTTTGAATACTAAGGCAGACGTCCCCCCACGGTTCCACAAGGCTCTGTTGCAAATTGGGTTACCACTGAAGCCTCGCCTAGGCAGTGCAGAGTCAAGAATAAGAATGCGTTCCGAGAAACAAAACGATGGAAAAGATGTCAAAAATAGACCTAGGAGTGACCACAAAGCTCTCAACTGTAGCATTTCGTCCACTCTACCTTAGATTATTGAGTTTGAAGGATTGGCTCGTCACAACGCTTTTCGCTTCTGTGATGAGGAAGGAAAGCAGTCACAATAATTTTGAAACTCAATTTTATAGCGCTAATGACCTGATGATCTCTATGGCGCACGATTACAGTGTTCGCTTGTTCTAGGAACTGGTCTGTCTTCGCCAGTCACACGTTTCTAGTACAATGCTTTTGGATGACTTCTCGCCCAGGTATTCCTAGCTGAGAGCATTCCCCTCAAAAGAGCTTACATGACTGGATCTTTTGTCAGTCGGATACCCTACCTATAGCGCAGACTTTCCCCTCCCCTGGTAGCTCGACATACCTGAACGGGGCTAATTTTGAACAGCAGTAATATTTGTGGGCACCACGATGGCGTCATTTGACCAACACCCACATTTGGCTGCTCCTACGACATCGGCTCTTTCGACTGATCCAGAAAAACCCAACAAGGGCCTCACGTGTACAAATTTTTATCCCGTCGAGGAATACCAAGCGGTACCATCTAGGGTCTCCATTAATCCTTATCGCGGTGTTATCTCGCTGTGTAGTACTCCTTCAAGAGGTTTATAACATATCGGCATGGTTACCCCTTTGAACGCTTCGAGAATACGTCAGAGCATCGGGCAGTGGCGATCGTGTCGGCGGGCTTAAGATACAAGGCAGGTTTATAACCAATTAATCATCAAAAAATCCGTAGAGCATGCCCAGTTATGCTAATCTAAATCCCGCAAGGTGTGGCGCTGCTCCTGAAGACTGAAGAAAGTTAACATCTTTGAACTCATTCCTGCACTTGCAAGTATTGGGGAAAACCCATGCACTTCCGCTTCCCGACCAACACGTAATAACTTATGCATTCAGCGATGCTCGCTCCAGACAGACACATGGAGCGCAGGCCGAACATCAAGAACCACAACGATTCTCATAATCAATGTCTCGCTGGGCTCAGCGGTGGACCAAGCATTCCAAAAACCAGACGGAATCAACCACAATCCATATTACGTCTTCGGATTACTAAGGCATTGTCGCTGCGAAAATGAGGCAGGCTGGCGGGCAACAAAATTCCACTCGGTACATTCCCTTCTATCAGTATGGCATGAAAATTCTCGGGAGCTTCGAACGTTGGCTTTTCATCTCATAAAAATCTCCACAGACCGTTGGTCCGCTCCAAGATTTTTTTCGAAATCTTCCTGCTCACGCCGCTGCGATCGCGTTCTACTGAGGATATCTCGGTTGAAAAGCCTGAACCATAGATTACAACCAGCAGGCAGGTTTGAGAGATGGTTGGGAATTTTTCAGATTGCATTGTATGGACGGTTGTACAGTAGAACTAAT